AAGGGTGCCTCACATCAATAAGGAATGAACAACTGTCCTCACGAGAACGAAAATGCGATCGCACGCCACTCGTTCGCAAGACATACGAGTAGGGCACGAAGCATCAAGAGCGCGGAGGAACGACGGTAAAGGACGGCATCGGAAGAGCTCCGGAAATCCATTGGGCATTGGCCTCGGGAAGATGAAAACCCGCCACCGCGATCATCTTGACCCTTGCATATAACCCCAGATCTGCTCGAGCTTGAATTCCTGCAGGATACTAGCCTACATATACATGGTGTGTATATGAGTGGCGATCATCTCACCCAACTCTTGGGAGGTTGTATGCATCGGCAGAAGGGAACAGTGGAGATACCCGGTCTCTTCACAGTGAACCATGGACGAAGCACAAGAGACAGAGACAGATGAGCTCAATTGCCCCCACCAGGTGATGGTCGGCAAAAAAACAATACTCCGTACGACTACGAGTATTGTATAATGAATATCCTCCCCATCGGATGGGTCCGGTCCACAGAGGGAAGTTGTACACACTGTACGGAGTACTAGTAGCGGAGTTCAATATGAAAGTGGCAATTCGAGTCAATATGATGTTTCCCCTCCTCTCTCCTGTACGAGTAGACGTGTACATTAGGGAGTAGAAAAGGGCAATGTTGAAACTTGAATGACATGAAATCAAGCCAAGAGAACTTTAGTCATGGATTGTACACTAGTTTCCGAGCCCAGAGTTTCAGGCGTGTAAGTGTACTCTGTACATAAAATACTTTACCGATCATGACGTCCTGCAAGCGGTGTGTCGTGTCATCAACTTTGGTGACCGACAACAAACCCACCATCGACACATTCCGGGATCTCATCTGCTCTCATCGCATCGTGAACCTTGTCCCCTCGGTCAGGAACGAAGGCGGTTGATCCGGTCTATTGGGAATCGCATGGGAAGCGATCAAAAGCATTGTCTTGAGATTGCAGGCCCGTTTGCGCCCCATTACACATGAAATGGTAATACACCCGTATCGTAATGACGCCTTTCCTAAAACGGAAGGGTTGCCTCCATCGTACCTTCCCTCGATCCGACTTGGACTCGACTCAACGTCCGACTTGCCAACTGGAGACTCTCTCTCTTCTTCCTTGTTCCCTGTAGACTTTCCCCCTTCCCCCCTGGACTTCATCCTCTGTTTGTTCTCCTCCTTTCCCCAGCGCCCGGATTTATTATTATTATTATTATTTTTAAACCACGGTATCTCGTTGAGTCATCGCCACTCGACCTTTGGCACCGCGTTCCGCCGGGCCCAAGCCAGAGCGGGACACCATCCGAGGGTGGACTCCTTGAACCCGCCTAAGACCGCCATCCACCCAGAAAGTCCACTTCCATCAAGAGGGGCATTCATATCGCACCGTCTCCAGTCGCATTCTCTTATTCTTCACCTCTTTCTCGGGGACCACGATCACGCCTCATCGCGGGACTCTGTTATCCTGTTACCCTCCTAAAACACCCCCCCCTCTCTCTCTCTCTAAGAAACCCCCAGAGTTTGGCGTGCCCTTTGCGCAGACTAGGGAAACTCGGATCTTTGATCTTTCCCAAGAGCAGGCTCCGCAAACCCGCATTATCATTTGTTTTTCTTCCCTCCCTTGATTCTCTGAGCTACTTGCTTGCCTTTCCTACTACTTCTTCCCTCCCCCACCAACCGGTTGATTTGACGGTCACGTCACCTTATCAGGATGGCGGGTGCAGCTCCTATCGACATCGCCACCCGGAATTCGACCTCGGTCTCACCACCTGGGCAACAGGCATCGAATCTCACGTCGGCATTGCAAAAGGCTGGCACGGGTGAGCGCACAGGTAGCATATCGCATCACCCTAGTGGAGGACTCGGGGGGTTCAAGGCGCCGCCGCCTCGCAAGGACTCGATTGGCGCTGCTACAGCACAATGGGGCAATGGAACGAAACCCATTTCAATGTCGGGGTCTAACCGCGAGAAAGGTCGGCGAGAATCCCTCGCAGGTAGTTTAGTGGGCGGTATGAGCTGGGGTGGTGTGTCTGTCGGAAGTTGGATACGCGATGAGTGAGTTGCCGGGAAAAAAAAAAACCTCCCCCATGAGGCCGCGGGGAAAACCTGTGCGCCTGTTGGTTGTTGCACCGCATCAGAGACTGACCGAGAAAATTTACACACAGCATTATTATGACCGGCACCTCACCATTTACCTTCCAGTCGCCTTCTTTTCATTCATCCTCATATCTGCCGAAGCTGGAGGCCAACTTCATGCGAGACTTTTCGTGCTGCGGTGTGACATTACCGACACTCCATGACCTATTACAACACTACGAAGAAGCCCATGCGACCAAGTCGCCCAACCAAGGGCATCGTCCGAGCCAGGGTGAAAATCGGGCTGCCTTGGCCGCGGCCGCGATCGCACAGCAACAGAACCAACAGCATGGCAACCAAGGGCGCGGATTACAGCCCGACCGAACCCTGGACATGCAGCGTAAAATGGGCCAGAACTCGTCCATTATCCAGCACGCGGATTTAGACACGATCGACGACATGGAGTTGGACGAGCCTATGGGAGATGATGATGGCACAACCTCGCAGCTCTTCTCTCCTCAGTTACGCGAAGGTGGCCAGGGGGGATTCGGCAGCTCCAACCAGGGCCCGCAATTAAACCTGGGCATGCTTCCAAGTCATCAAGGCTTCAGCACACCCTCTCAACCCGGAACGCCGATCGGATCTGGACGCCCGCTCTCCCTGCAAAATAATCCTACTGTGTCCTCCGTCAACACCCCCACTTTAATGGCAAATCCTCTCCAAACTTCACAATTTCGAAATACTCCCGATTCATCAGCACCTGGAACACCCGCGGAAATCGACGAAAGTATGATGGGCGGTTTTGGCGATCTCAATATGCAGCACAACATGGGTCAGAATCAAGGCCAGTATGGACGGTTTACCGGAAATAACGATATGGTTGATTTATGTATCGACGAGCCGGCCAAGCGACTTTTCAGCCCTAGCGGAGGCATGGGGACCCCGAATGCCCACTTCAAACTCAGTGGGGCCCAATATGGGCCCAATAGCGACATTGCACGCCGGATTCGTGAGCAGCAGCTCCTGGCGGGCGTCCCGGATACCACTTCAATCCTTCCGAACGAGGAACCGAAGCCGTTCCGTTGCCCTGTCATTGGTTGTGAGAAGGCCTATAAGAACCAAAATGGACTCAAATACCATAAGGCTGTGAGTCTCCCAGTGCTGACCTTTTCTTTCACTACACGCTTGAAGACCATTTTATCTAACGTTGTTTCTTTCTGCTTCTTTTAGCATGGCCATAATAATCAACAACTTCACGACAACGCTGATGGTACATTCTCAATCGTCAACCCGGAAACATCAGCACCTTACCCTGGAACCCTAGGCATGGAGAAAGAAAAGCCTTATCGCTGTGAAGTGTGCGGCAAGCGGTATAAGAACCTCAACGGTCTTAAATATCACAAATCGCACTCTCCACCATGCAACCCTGATTTCCAGATTGCAGCAGGTCGCAATCTGAATCTCGGCGGTGGAGTCATGCAGGGGCAGAACATCAACGTTGCTGGAGCTGGACTCCCCGGAATTGGCGAAGAAGGCCTCCTGTGAAGTTCCCTCCTTTGCTTGTCCATAACATAATACCCAGTTATTATGCGAATGAATCTCGACGGTCTTTCGGAGCTAACTGCGCTCCCACATGATGTCATGAATGGCCCGGTGACTTTGGAGTTCTTACGGTTGTCTTTTCACTGCTTTCTTACGGGGTGTCTTATCCTTTCACATACTCTGATATATCGATGCCTTTCGCTGTTCGCTGGCATCCGTGTTTTTTTGTGCTTTTGCTTGATATCCCTCGCCGTTTCCAATTCCTCCGACGCACCCAGTCGGGCCTGGTACTAGAGCCACCTGAGCGATCAAGATCTCAGAAAGACCTGCCTAGAAGTTCGTGGTTATGTTTCCCTCCACTTGATTGCTGGGATTTGAGGCAGCAATGGAACAAGGGAAACGTGTTTATATCGTTCTGTTCTTCTTTTTGCATGTTATCATGCGTTCTGCACGGGTTGGCTTTTGCTGTTTGTATTGCCTTTTTTTTTCGCTTTTATTTTGTTGGGCTTCAACTGGCCCACTCCATTTCCCCATATGACCTGCGACCTCTATGTCTAGCCTGGAAAGGGCAGGAAAATGGACCATCGCGGGCTTTGCCTCACTGCACTCATGAAAAGCAGGAGAAACGTGAAGAGGGCCGACCAGAGGTCTAGGATCTTATGCAAGGTTAGAGGAATATGGCTTGTTGCTGTTCAGTCCTCCCGCCTCTCTATGGCCCTGTTATTTGCTTCCTTCCCAGCAACGCTGATTTTGGATAGGGAGTGGAATCGAAGTTATAAAAGTGTGGTTCTTTGGCGTCGGATCCTGTAGATACGGGTTTATACACTTTGGCTTTTGTCTATTAACTGATTACTTGACTTTCTTCTACCCAAAGCTTATTTTTATGCCACAAGCAAATCGCAGTTCTACGCCGCTTAGCTGAGAATGAATTGTCCAGTAGTTTACGCGTTGATTTGGATTGTTATTTGGGTGACCCAGCTAGATTTACCATTCTAGTACGTGAAAAGAATCATCGTAGATTTCAAAGCTTTGGTTAGTGGAAAAAAAGAACCATTTATTTCACTTGTAAATATCGTGAGCTTCTGAGGCTCATATCGAAGGAAAAGAAACAAAGTAAAAAAAGACAACAGGTGCGAAGCTAACCCCTGGGATATGATCTTGTTTCGAGGCAATAGGAGGAGAATCGTGAACGGTCGAAAAAGGTAGCGCTTGTAGAAGCCGCGTAAAAGGCATAATAGGTGGATGGGTTGAAGTTTTAAGTTTCGTTTGGGCCATAGAGGATGCTGGTGGGGAAAGAAGTATTACAGATCGGAGGAGATTCGTAAATGTGGGGAGCGAATATGAAAAGGAGGAGTGTGAGAAGTTGATCATTTCTCATTACCACTCAAACTCTCCCTGGCCCTTATGGAAGACATATCTAAAAGTTGCAAGATTAGTGGAGAGCCTGATCGGAACTAGAAAAAAGATACTTACTCCTTGCCACCAGTAGTTAGGATTCCATCCTTCAAGGTGCACTTCCACTTGTTCTTGACCCTTTGAACCTTGTCGTAGGTGCAAAGCATGACCTGACCATCCATTTCATCGGCATCGTGATCATCAGCGACCAGGTCATCAGGGTCATCAAGGTCGGAGTTGATAGCATCTTCATCAGCTTCCTCCTTGGGTTCGTCCTCGGCGCCATCAAATTGGGCAGGAATTCTATAGGTGGATGCTGTATTCTCGGTGCTACCTTGGTTCAAAGGCGCGACCAAGCCAGCGCGTCTGGCAGCCGATCTCGACGACCCGGCTCCGGAGGAAGGCTGGAGAAGACCACCGGCCTCAAGGCCGAGCATCTGCTGCTTGAAGTGGTCACGAAGAAGCCGGTCACCTTCTCCATTTCGCGCAGCTTCTCTGCGACGGGCGACCTCTGCTTTCCAGTCGGACAATGAATCACCAGCGCCATCGGTCTGGCCTGGGCCCATTTGAGGATAGCCGGGCTCCTGTTTGATCTGAGGCATCTGACCGTTGGGGGCATGCATTTGCGGCTGTGGCTGTGGCTGCGACTGATAGGCCTGGCCAGGTTGTTGGAGTTGGCTGACAGTCTGAGCCGCAGCTGGGCCGTACTTGTGAAGCACGTTGTTCATAGCCCGCTCTCGTGCGGAATGAAGAGGCGCATTAGAAGCCATCGAGTTGGTCATGTTTGGCGGTATAGCTTGTCCGTTGGTGCCAGGCTCAGTCTTGATACGAGGGCCAGCCATCGTCGCGGGTTGTGAGGCGGCAGCCTGCATCGGGGGCGCCTGAGGTAGAGAGACAGGGGGAGGGACATGTTGTTGCGGGGGTGGTCGTGGCGCATTGGAGGGAACGGTGGATTGAGGGGGAAGGACATGAGCTTGGGGAGTAGGTTGAGGAGCAGGATCCCAGGGGAAATGGGCGACGTTGACAGAAGAGAGCTTTTGCTGCCAGTGCTGTTGGAGATATTTAGTTAGTATGTGCGGGGGAAATAGGCAGTGATGGAGGACGAATGATGGCTTGGCGGCCTAAGCCCCAAAAGCGGGTAGCGGCGGCCACGTATAAAGGGAACCTCAAATGCCGGTGTTCCCCCATAAGCACCGCCTCCCTCGCACTTCGGGCTCCCCCGCTTTTCGCCGACCAGCCCGGACCCAGCACGCCGCCATCAAAGCCCACACAATGAGAATGAAAGAGGATAAACTTACATCGCGCAGATCATGCAGTGTCTTTTGATCAACACCACTCTCCTCAAAGTCAACCTGGGAGGAATCGCAGACCTCCTGGATCACCTTCTCGAACACCGTACCCTTTGAAGGGAGGGCTGTCAGTTATGGATACTTCACATCAATCTTGGCCAGTTCCTCATCAAGAGAGCAGTATACAAATGGAAAAGAGCCATTGCCTGATGCTTGATCGACTGTACAGGGCGCCCCGAAACGGAACTTACCACTTGCTGGTTGGACATGTTGGCGGGGAGCTGGGTTGAAGTGCTGAATGGATTGGGAGGTTGATTGACGGCGTGTCAGATATACCGATAGCGCGAAAGTGAGCCGAGAGAGAACTGAGATTGAAAGCTCAGTAGCTCAAAGGAGGGATATAGCCTTCCGTCGCAACGGATGAGGCCGTCAGAGGACTGATCGATCAAGCCTCCACGGAGTCACGCGAGGTTGAAATATTCGGCCTGGTCGTAACGCTCAAGCCGGAGACAATGATTTACGTGTCAGCTAGAGATATTCGACGTTGGCGAAGAGTCGAGGGGCAAGGGGCGAAGGGTGGGGAGTTGCCGATGAGTTAGAGAAAGGTGAAAGTCGAACCTCCGCGGTCGATCCTGACTCCAGTTCCGGGAGCTTAGTCATAAAGAGCCGCCCACCCAACACAATACCAATGCGCCTAGATTTTAAGTAGACATAGCCCAGCTGACTTGTAAGTTCCTTTCAGGGGATTTGGGCTACAGTTTTGGTAGAAAATAAACTTCTCACTTATTTGAAATCTTTTTGAAAGATAACGTTCAGGATTGGCATTTTGTACAATCAGCCTAGAGAAATAGATTACAACTCCATAAAACACCATGAACACCAATTACTCCATTGAAAACACATCCCAGCCCATCAATGCTAGAGATCACCATGAACCGGGTATAGAGCTTGGAAAACAGGAAACACAAACAGGGTTAGTATTAGTTTGCCGGTTTGCCTGTTTACCGGATAGTCATCGACTTGCTCAGCTGTGCCTTGCTTCCGACGCCACCCTCGCGAGAGGCAGAAGCACTGCTGCCAGGCTTGCGCTCAAAAACTTTCCAGAACTTCAAGCTCTCATCGGCCGCGGCGGTCGCGAGCATTTGTCCATCGGGGCTAAGACTGCTGTGAAGGACGCGGGTCTCATGGGCGGGGATCTCAACGTTGCGCACCAGGGTTGGGTAGCTCCAGATGCTAAGAGAGTTATCCGGGAAGCCACTTGAGCTGACAATCTCGCGGTAGTGGTTGCTCCAACGGAGACTGGTTACTTGAGATCCGGTGTCGATGCTGTTTGTACGAGCACCAGTGGTGGTGTTCCAGAAATGGATGTGACGATCGTACGAGCCACCTCCGGTGGCCAAGAGGTTCAGTTGCCAGGGGCACCAGCTAAGGGCCTTGACGGCCGCACGGTGGTTGGTCTTGGTGAACTTGGGTGCGCTGAGAGAGCGAGCGTCCCAAATGTTGACAAGATTGTCGTTTCCACCAGTAGCAAGCTGTGCGCCGTCGGAGCGCCACTCCAGACCGCAAACCTCAGATGTGTGGGAGACCAGCTCGGCAACCTTGTGCTGGGCAATGCGGACATCGTGGTTGTAAACAAGACCGCTACGGGCACCGGTGGACAGAGTGTGCTTAGACCAGCCCATCACACCGACACGGGAGTCATGGCCGTACATGCTGCGGAGCTTGGAGCCTTCCTCAACATCCCAGATCTGGATCTCGCCGGTTCCGAGACCGACGCCGACATAGGCACCATCGCCACTCCATTTGACACTGCTAACATATGTATCAGGGGAAGTCTCGAGAAGGCAGTTCACTGTGCCCGACTCAGCAGACCAGACGTAAACGTTGCGCTCCAGGCCGATGGCGACTTGGTTGCCAGAACTCCAGTCCAACAAGTTGAGATAGTAGTCATCAAGTAGGCCAGGTGCATCGAGGACCCGCTCGGGGGCTGTTTGAACACGACGGCGGAACTGGGCTGACTGGGACTTGGCAGGACGAAGAGGACGGTTGTACTGCGCTCGGAGATCGATTGGCTTGGACGATTCAGGAGGCGGTGGCTTGAATGCCAGAATGCGAGTATTCAGATTCACTCCACAGGCATTTGCCAGAGATGACTCGTAAGCAACGGCATCTGGTGCGGGGCGGGTGTAGGTGGAAGGTTCGTTATCTTCGAGGCCCATGTTCTCGAGAGCAGCCGTGAGATCTTCCTCGGATCCGCGTCCGTTCATATCAAAAGCACTAGCAGCCGAAGCTAGGACGGAAGATCCTTCATTTCCACTGGTCTTGGGGCGCTGGCTGTCCTCGGGCTTGGCGGTTCCGGTGGTGACCAATCCCTCGCTGGCAGTCCGGTTAGGAATGAAGCGGTCTCCGGCATTGTGAGAGATTCGAACAGTAGTCTTGCCGGCCCGGGAGCGAGTGGGAACTTCCCGGCGAGGGCGCTCTTTTGAGGGAGTCTGGCCAGATGAGGAAGGTCCGGTACCGGTCAGAGACCAGTCAGATACCCCCAGTTCCAGATGCTTGGGGGATTTCCGCGAACGACGAGCAATGTTGGATTTTGGAGAATCGCGATGAGTTCGCGATTGTTTGGGAACTGCCGAGGAAGACTTCGAAACCGAGGGCTTGGAGAAGTAAGACGACAGATTTCCACCATAGACCGACTTTGACTTGTCGTTTCCAGCATCGGCGGGTCGAGCCGGAGTGAACGGGGAGGATTGATCGGAGGCTTGAGGAGTTGCGACGGTTGCTCGAGTATGAGGAGAGGGAGTCAGAGGCATACGGCTGCCGGCAGTTTTGGAAGAGAAGAGCCCATGGTGGCTCTTCTTGGGAGTCGACAGTTGAGCAGTTGCCATGACGAAGATAGTTTCCACAGGGGAGTTAAACAGATACAGTGGAGCCAGCCACTAAATAAGGCAAAGGTAGAGACGTTAATTAGGGATTTCGAGAGAGGTTTAGATCATAAGAAAACAGAGGAGTGGTTGAGGAGAAGAAGAGGGCAAGAAGTATGAGCGACTAAATAGACTGCCCATCTGAGTATGGAGCACTTCTTCCCCCCGGCAACCGTTACCTCAGGTACGGGAACGCTATCCCCCATTGGGACTTAGCGCGAAATCCCTGGAATTTTAGGCAACTTAGGAAAAAGGTTTTCCCGGGATGTCCTTTCAATGGTGGCGTGCCTTACTCTTGTACAATCAATGAATGGATCAGTCATTCTGATCCTCCAAGGAAAAAAGCCATACACTGGCCCACCCCTGGGGGGCATCATGCAATTTGTGAACAAAGAGTGAGTAAGCAAAGTCCATTATTACCAACCTCTTCTTTCAAACCACCTTTTTCACCCTCCTTTCCTTCTGTCTCATGGCGGATCCGGCGACTCCCCACTTCAACCCGTTCCACCAGGACCCACCCGCACGACTTCCGTCATCCTGGGCTGGATCTTCAAGAGCCTCCAATCCCATCACACCTGGCAGTCTTCGCTCTCCTGCATTTCCGATGCAGCAGCAGGACGCATACCTACTTCCCGCCAGTCCGGCGGCTGGCCGTCAACCAGTGGCAGATTATAGGCCTGGTGTCAAGAAGGCACTCGGCCATGTCCCCGCATGTCTGGTCAATGCCTCGGTGACGTTTTGTAATAACGATCACATCTACGCCTTCGGTGGCTTCGATCAATTCACCGATGAAGGTTGGATCTCTCCTCGCGATCAACCATGCCCTCCCCGCTCCCATCCACGCCGCAACCCATAATCCCGCTAACGAAACATTCGCAGTTTACAACCATGTACTCCGTCTCAATCTCAATACTTTGCGGTGGGAGTTGGTAGATAACTATGGTGACATCCCCGGTGTACGCATGGGTAAGTCGACTGTGTCTTTGAAGTCATTTTGTTTCGACCCTTCTAATCCTCGAATTCTTCCTTTGCTAGGACACACCGCGACCTTGTACCAAGGCGACAAATTGATCGTATTTGGTGGCGAGAATGAACATCGCGATTATCTTGCGGACGTCGTTATCCTCGATCTTCAGTCTTTTACATGGACGGGGCCAGAAATACACGGAATTCCTCCTCGGGGAAGAGCACGCCATGCCGCGGTCATCCATGATGATAAACTCTTTATTGTCGGGGGAGTGACGGGGGAGAACAATGTCATATTGGATGATCTCACCTACCTGGACCTACAAACCTGGACTTGGTCACGTACCTGGAGCTTCACCGCTCGCTTCGATCATACGGCTTGGGTCTGGGGAAATCGCCTGTGGATATTCGGTGGTCTCAGGACCCAATATGGAACGAACGACCGATATCTGGTGGCTCGACCTCAAAGGCTCACCGTCGCTTACTGGAATCGTCTCCTCCCAAGGTACCGTGGACACCCCGGATGCACCAATCACCTTCGCTCATCTCCCAGAATCTATGTCTAGTACGCCGCAGCAGATGTCCCCGCGCTCTGGGATCTACGCCGCCAACTCCGCCAGCGTACAAGTGCGCAGCTTTGGTCGCCGTAAACCACTTGCCCCTGGCGCCATCTCTTGCCTTAGGTTCCATTCTGGTCCGCATGTGCCCGCTCTCTTTTCAGGTACTCATTTCCAGTCATTCGCGTCCGGGGTCTTATTGGACTTGATTACTCCATCGGAAACAGTGCGGTCTCACGACTGCAACTTGTCCGCTCTAGAGCTCAATTCACTGCGCTGGCAACGACTAGCAGACGGCCAGGAGATCTTCCGGCCTGGATATCGATGGCACTATTGTACAGTCAATGAAGCGGGGACTAAGGCGTGGCTTCTGGGTTGTAGCCTTGACGTTCAGAATACACCAGGAGCAAGTGATGAAAATCACATGAGTGAAGTACTCTCGATCGACTTGGAAAGATACGGACTTCTCGGCAACGAGTTGTCAGCGGAGATTCCCCAACAGGATGTCCCCTGGCCAGCTGACACGGCAGGGCAAACGCCTGTTTCTGGGCTCGGGGCTGACCTCTCTGCCGTGTTTGATCAGACCCCAGAGTCAGGAAGTGGTGCTGATTTTGTTATCACGGCGACGCGCGATGATCTCGACTTCATGGTTGCAGATAACCCTGAAGATACTCCCTCCACCTCAACCACACAATCGAAACCGACTTTCGTGGAGCCCGACTCCTCAACATCAGTCCCTATTCATGTCCACAAGATAATCCTACAACTGCGCTGGCCACACTTTAAGCGCTTGTACTCAGCGCAGATGGCAGAATATCATACCAAGCGCATGCACATCCCGGAGCCATATTCGGTAGTCCGTGCATTTCTCTACTATCTGTATACAGATAGTATCGCAGGCCATCCTGAATATTGCTCGACTGTGGTCGATGTGGCAGGCATGTTAGTCATGGCCAACCTTTACGACATGCCGAAGCTGCGTCTTCTATGCGTGAATCGACTAAGTCGTGAGATCGATGTGGAGAACGCCGCAATTGTCTGGGAGCGTGCCGGTAGAACCAACGAGCACTGGCTGATGCGTCGAGCCGCACAGTTCTGCCTGACACACTGGGGTCGCGTGGTACGAACTGACGGATTCAAGTCGCTCAGTCACACAAGTTTGATCGAACTATGCGAGGTGGTGGATACAGAAGGTCGTATTGTGGCAGGGCCAGAGCTTGAGATGGTCAGCTCATTCGGAGGAGAGTCCCAATGTGAACGCGACAAGAGCTCGCGACTTCGGCTAGGTTCCGCGGCGGACGAGCTATCTGAGATGGATGGTGATGACGAAGGAATGGAAATTTCATGAAACGAATCGGACACGCATAGTCTTCCGGAGTTTAGGCTTGGCAAGAGCAAAACATGTACTAGCATTTTTCTTTACTGAATCCATCTGCATCGAGAAGTTGTAGAACTGCGGTGAACGGGCCGGTCAGCCTGGTAACACCAGAAGCCACTCAGGCGCGGTTGCGCGGCTCCACACGCCGACGCTCTGGGCACGGGATCTGCTCCGCGCGGAGTTCATTCCTAGCACGATAAGGAAGCTTTAGCGTGTGTCTCGCCTTGACTGTCGCCATGGTTTCAGATTCAGGACCCTGCTTTGCATATATAAGTCACTATGTGTAGCAAGAAGCCTGGGTCGATTAGTAGTAGTAAGTTTAACCACCCTCCCCAGCCGTGAATTTACTACTCCTTAGTAGTAGTACTAGGTAGTATCACGATGGGTTCCATCACCCAGTCCACTCTACCATCCGATTTTGTTTGGGGCTTTGCGACGGCCGCCTACCAGATCGAAGGTGGTGCAAATGAAGATGGTCGTGGTCCATCCATCTGGGATACTTTTTGCAAGCTCCCCGGTAAAATTGCTGGAGGCGGGTCAGGTGAGATCGCGTGCGACTCATATCACAGAACTCATGAAGACATCGCTTTATTGAAAACCTGTGGTGCCCAGGCCTATCGTTTTTCAATTTCATGGTTCGAACACCTCCACTATCTGCACTTCGCTCCGCGAATATTCAATTAATATGATTACCAGGTCTCGTATCATTCCTCTGGGCGGCCGCAATGATCCTATCAACGAGAAAGGTCTTCAGTTCTATCTCAAATTCATTGACGACCTTCATGCCGCAGGCATCACGCCAATGGTGACCCTTTTCCATTGGGATCTTCCCGATGAATTGAATAAACGATACGGCGGATTTCTCAACAAGGAAGAATTTGTTGCCGACTTCGCTCGTTACGCCCGAGTCGTATTCGATGCCTTTGGGTCCAAGGTCAAGCACTGGATCACCTTCAATGAGCCTTGGTGCAGTAGTGTCCTGGGCTATAACACTGGGTCTTTTGCACCCGGTCATACAAGTGATCGCACCAAGAGCCCTGTCGGTGACGGCTCGACAGAGCCATGGATTGTGGGACACAGTCTCCTCGTGGCCCATGGAGCAGCTGTTAAGATATACCGAGATGAATTCAAAGATCAGAATGGAGGCGAGATCGGAATTACACTGAACGGTATGTGCTCCATACTGGTATATTCGTACACTTGCTAATTATACCAAAATCGGATACAGGCGATTGGGCCGATCCCTGGGACCCAGAAAATCCCGCTGATGTCGAGGCCTGTGATCGCAAAATCGAATTCGCAATTTCGTGGTTCGCTGATCCTATCTACCTCGGAAAATATCCCGACAGCATGATCAAGCAGCTAGGCAACAGGTTGCCAGCTTGGACTGCGGAAGACATTGCTCTTGTGAAAGGCAGCAATGACTTTTATGGAATGAATCACTATTGTGCAAACTATATCCGCGCGAAGACTGGCGAGCCAGAGCTTGATGACATCGCAGGAAATTTGGAGCTGCTGCTCGAGGACAAGAATGGCAAGAGTGTCGGCCCCATCACACAGTCACCATGGCTGCGACCATGTGCAATTGGATTCCGGAAACTGCTCAAGTGGTTAAGTGATCGTTATGGTTATCCTAAGATCTACGTGACAGAAAACGGTACTAGTGTACTTGGTGAGAATGACATGCCTCTAGATGAGCTACTGGAGGATGAATTCCGTGTGCAATATTTCCGTGATTACATCGGAGCCATGGCCGATGCGTATACGCTCGACGGAGTGAACGTGCGGGCTTACATGGCATGGAGTCTTATGGAGTATCGTACCCTGTTCCTCCCTTCCTTGAAATTAATGCTGACTTCTCAATTTGCAGTAACTTCGAGTGGGCAGAGGGTTATGAGACCCGTTTTGGAGTCACCTATGTGGACTATGATCATGACCAGAAGCGCATTCCAAAGAAGAGTGCCAAGAGCATTGGCCAGATATTTGATCGCTATATTGAGAAGTCTTAATTCAAGTTGAGGGCGCTTTCACCCACTAGTGTGTGCATATCTCCTCGTATAATGATTGAATACTGTAACGTTTCCAGGCGATATTGGGAGGCGCGCGCGTTCAGATAGCCTTGGCGGATGACTTCCTTTTGCGAATACTATACACTAGTTTGTTCCAGCTCGGACTCTTGTAAATGACTTTCCATTTTAGATGTTTATATTTGAGAATCAATTTTAGAAATTTTGAGATGGTGGTTGGATTTTAGGGGCCATATAAACAATTCCCCGAGACTTTGCCTAATGGGTAACCCCGAGTTGCTTCTATCGGCCCCATCCCGAAACCCGCTCCGATCCCAACGGCATTTTCTTAGCTCCGGATAAGAAAAGTTACACCAGTGGGAACAGGATTCTATTGGAGAGTGCAAAACAGGGCCAGTGAGATCTTCGCAGGATACGAGCGGAGGTTAGCTCAACTACATAAGCTTTGAAAATGGACTCATCACTAAGTCCGACTCTTAAGGCCGTTCTCCGTCATTGGCCCCATCTAGATAGCTTCGGTGATCCAGACACCTATATAAGAAAAGCAGATCGTTTTCAGAATATTCTTCCCTACTTTCAATCACATTCCACCTGAGAAATAAAGCCACCTTTGACCTTTCAAACTATAAGATGTCTGCTCAGACCATCCAAAAAGTTGCCATTGTTGGTGTAAGTACCCAAGTTGTCATGTTATCTAGGAAGGTTTACTAAACCTTATACAGGCCACTGGCCGCATAGGGGGCGCTTTTGCTAAAGCACTCGTGGAGGGTGGCAAGCATACTGTCACAGCATTGACTCGCGAGAACGGGGCGGAAAGCTCCCTGGGGGTGTTCATGTTGCTAAGGTGAACTACGACGACGAAGCTTCTATTACCAACGCTCTCAGAGGTCACCAATTTCTCATAATCACTCTCAGCGTCAGAGCCCCCCAAGATCTGCATAAGAGGATTGCAGATGCAGCAGGCAAGGCCGGCGTTTCTCTTATTATGCCGAATGCCTATGGCTACCCAATCTCCGCTGGAGGCCCCCAGGAGGGGGATGCGTATGGAAAGGTAGCCTTTGACCGGGTCAACGAAACCAAGAATGGTATCTCTTCTTCAATCAAGCTATCTTGTGGCTTCTGGTATGAGTGGAGCTTGGCTACAGGCGAGCAATGGTTCGGCTTTACGATCAAGGATCGCAAGGTCACCTTCTTCGACGATGGGAAGCGGACTATCACTGTTAGTACTTGGGACCAATGCGGCCGGGCCCTGGCGGCACTCCTAAGTCTTCCGGAGTCTGGCTCAAGCCCTTCACTCGCCGATTATAAGAATGGAAATTGCTCCATCTATAGCTTTCGAGTGTCCCAACGAGATATTCTGGACAGCCTCCACCGAGTATTGGGCACAACTGACTCCGATTGGGAGATTAAATACGAGGCGGTCGAGAAGCGCATCAAAGATGCTGCCGAGGAGTCTTCTCAGGGTCAAATTACTGGTTTTGTCAAAAAGATGTATGGAAAGGTCTTTCTGGATTCCAACGAAATGAGTGACTTCGCGGCCAAGGGCTCGGAGAATATTTCTCTGGGGCTTCCCAAGGAAGATCTCGACGAAGCAACAAAGAGAACAGTGGAAATGGTCGAGAACGGCTGGAACCCTTTCGGATAGATCATGATGTTAAGGCCTGCCCAGATGTGCCAATCGACCTCGGGACGGATATATATTGACTCAGGAGGTCCACATTACCACTGCCCAGGTGAGAATTATTAATGGTCCGAGTCACGTTGACTACTACTATTTCCAGCCTTCAAGCTGTAGAAATAATGTTGATTGACTGTTTTTTTGGATTATGCCCAGTATATTTGGACTCGGACATCTAGACATCCACTCGAAACTTTCAGGTTACTTTTTGAATAATAAATGTGTCGTTAGAACGATGAGAGATCGTAGAAGAATAGAAATGGATGTTCCAAATTTGCCTCGGTGAGACAGCCCTAGTAGAAACCTGAAACCAATGTGGAACCGGAATGGAGTGCGCATTCTCACATCGAATTTCCCCGCTTCCCCACATCGCCTAGCAACCCCTAGGCCCCGTGGATAGTCGTATGATACCAAGGCCGAAACTCTTCTTCAGCTCATGCCGCTCTCTACATCCTGAACAGTGAAAACTGGAACCAACTTGAATGATATTCCCATCATGGAAAAAACAACAACCATCACTTTGCCTGCTGGTCCTATCAAGGCGCGGACGCTCGACGATCTCGTTCATGCCCGGGGAATTCCTTACGCGAAGGCTTCGAGATTTGAGCCCCCACAGTATACCGACAGTTGGACCAAAGTTCTGGACTGCACCGGGCGTGCGACGATATGCCCCCAACTTCCATCACGACTAGAGTCCGTGATGGGACCATTGACCAAAGGACACGCATTGAACGAGGAATGCCTACATCTATCCATCACCGCACCCAGAGATACCAAAGATGCTCCCGTGATGATTTGGCTACATGGTGGAGCCTATATCTCCGGTGGTGGGGATCTTGATTGCTATCAGCCGATTGAACTCGCTAGGAGAGGCATTGTCTGTGTTAACGTCACGTATCGACTCGGCGTTTTCGGGTATCTCCGATTAGAAGGTATTGCGCCCGCCAATCTCGGGCTGCTCGATCAGCGTGCTTCACTGTTATGGGTACAGAGGAATATCTCAGCATTTGGCGGGAATTCGAACAACGTCACCATGGTTGGCCAGTCAGCCGGGGCCGATTCAATTATTTGTCTGATGGCTGCGGAGGAGACGGCGGGCCACCTTTTCCATCGTGCTATTTTGCTTAGCCCTCCACTGCGAGATTTAAAGGAACGGAAACTCACAGGGGCTCTTTTATCTCAGAAAGCGGAACATCTTTTAACTCAAGATCCCCGGGAAATGACTGTGGATGGGTTGCTAGCTCTTCAAAAGAAGCTTCTTCTGGATCCAGTCCAGGTCAGGGTGATGCTATTCGCCCCAAGTTTTGGGTTCGATCCTTTGCCCGAAGAAAAGGATTTTGATGAAAAGATTTCCGAAGCAGCATCCAGAGTTCCTATTTTAATAGGCTGGACCGCTCATGACGGTCGCCCCTTCGCAAGTATGATGGGCCCGCCGAATTTACTCAAATTGCCGATAATAGGATCGTTGATGGAGACCATTGGCACCTGGTATATTACTCAAAGCTATTTTAAATGGCCATCGCAATGTTTCCACCAACAGATTTTGGATGCCGGTGGCTCCTCGACTAGCTACTCGTTTGGATGGGCCGGTCATAACAGTAACTTAGGGGCTTGTCACTGCATTGATATTCCCTTCGTACTCGGGAGCTACGAGGCTTGGAAATTGGCACCTATGTTGGCTGGAAAAGACACAGAAAAGGTAATTTCCGGACTTGGATTCCAAATTCAAGAGATATGGACGAGGTTTATGAGGGGCGAGGCATTGGACAACCGGCATATAGAGTTTGAGAGAGACTTCGTCGTATCTGAAGGAATCTTCAGACCCCGAGATCAATAATTTATCCATAATAAATTATAATAGCCACTGGATGGGTGGATCTGCTTGCCTGTAAATTGAACAGTGATAGTATCTAGTCCTGCATCCTAGTAACTATTTATACATAGTACCGTTGCTGCCCCAGGCATAAAGGCACCAAGCGGATCTTCCCCGCCCTCCGTCATCCATTCACCTTTCTCACTCAGCCTTGTCGCTGTCCAGTGTCGACATTTTTTTCAACAAATAGGCGGCCATAACCGCCTTGTGGCCATATGCAATGACTTTCAGAAGGGATGAGGTCTGAAACATTGATCGATCGCCGGGTTGGAGCACCTAAATCCCGAGCCGGTTGCAAGACCTGCAAGCACGCTTTTCCCCAGCCCCTCTTTGCGTTTCTCACTAACTACTGACAGAATTCGGAAAGTCAAATGTGGAGAAGAAAGACCGAACTGTATTCGTTGTTCTAGTACGGGAAGAAAGTGCGATTATGAGGGCGATACGCCCCCTAGGCCCTCCTTTGCTACATCGGCCATGGCTCCTCGCCACACGCTGTCGCTATCGCCAAACTCAGGACGCCGAGAACGCCGAGCATTCGAGTTTTACTTTGTATCAGCAGCTCCGCAACTAGCTGGTGGCATGAGCATTGACTTCTGGACAACCGTCGTCCCCCAAATTTGCCGCAGTGAGCCAGCAGTGTGGGATGCCATGATAGCAATCAGCGCACTATTCGAATATCCAGATCAGTGCCTGGATTTCACTTATCTACGGAATTGTCACAAGAGGTCTGAATCGCTCAGCCAAATACAGCAAGAAGCTTTATCCTGGTACTCGCGTTCGATATCGAGCATTAGTTCGCAAATTGCTGGGAGAGGAGCAGATCCATACATCGCACTTATCAGCTGCATACTGTTCATATGCATAGAGACCATTCAGGGACGCGTGGAAGAGGCACTCCAGCTGTACCGCCAAGGCGTTAGCCTGATTCTCGACCTACGTGTTCAAGTAAGCCATGGAATGGTCTCCACTAGCAAGGTTGCTCTCCTGGAGGACACCATCGTCCCATTGTTTTTGCGTCTGTGTGCTGTTTCTCTCTCGATATCGGGTGTCCAGCCATGCGAACTTTACACACTCGCCAATATTGGCATTCCCGCTGTCTTTTCATCTGTTGATTCCGCGCGGTTTGTTATCGCTAATCTTTACACCGAGGCCCAGCTTTTTGAAAATGAGGCAACAAAACATATCTGGGCGGTCGGCAGAGACGCCGCCATCAGTCAAGATCTGCTCAATCGACAGCATTCTCTCAAAGATCGACTCAACAATTGGCATCGTGCGTATATCGGGATGTGCCAGAACCTCCATACAAGAGCAGCGATGCCAACCAATGCCGAGCCAATATTGATGACCTATCACGCGGCATTATTTATCTTCGTCTCCGAGTGCCTCACGCACCATGAAATAGTCTATGACAATCATCTTGCTGGATTTACAACCATTGTTGAGCAGGCTAGCTTGACTCTTGCTAGCACGGTAGGACCAAATGGAGCCCAACCGCCTTTCACATTTGAGATGGGCATTGGCATGCCACTCTTTTTGACCGTCATGAAATGCCGAGACTCGAATCTGCGGCTGCGAGCTTTGGATTTGTTACGGCAAGCACCGCCAATGCAAGGGTTTTTCAAATGCACACCTGTTGCTCACCTGTCCGAGAACTTCATGAAACTTGAAGAAAGCTACGGCAAAGCAATCAGAGAATCTACAGGAGATCATTCGGTTGATATACCAGAAGAGGCTCGCATATGCCATTATGGTGTTTTCCGGCCCCAGGATGGTCTCCCCCCCCGGTATCGTTGAGGAGGATTGTGCTAGATATGGCTGTGGCCCTGAGCAGCTTTTCTTGGGATTTTCAAGAAATCACTTTGACACAGTCAACAATACATGGGGCTTGATTACTCAAGTTGTTCCACTTCAGGCTTAACCCATTTGTAAATAGTATTTCTATAAGAGCACAAGTCTATGTACAAAGCGCGTTAGCACTGAGGAGTTGGGTTGGGATGGGTTGGGATGGGTTGATTCTTGTCCAGTTGAGTAGTAGTTGTCACTATCAAGTTTAGAAATAAGAAATTAAGAATGCAATCAATCAGTGCTAAAGAATGGAATGTAGCTAGAATGAAATTGAGCGTGTTTGTGCATGCCAAGCCAGGTATACAACCAGAGCGGTGATTCGCCGTCGGCAAAATGAAGCTCCGTCAAGCCAAGTGGCCCGTTGGATCCAACTACATCACCGATGCTCGCTGACTCTCTTTGACTTGTGTCCTTCTGCAGGTCGCGATGCGACTCTTACACTTCAACGGATCTCACTTATCACAGGCATCATGAGGGCGTCACTCCCCTGTTTTCTGCCGGCTCTGCGTATGCCCCTCACCCTTTGCTTTGTCTGAGAGTCGCGCGACAGCCAGCTGACTCCTCTTTCTAGTGCTATCACAGGTTTATGCAGTAGGGTCAACACAAGCTCCCACCAACGATGAATCAATGACCGCTATCGCCAGCAATGTGGATAACCAACAATACTTGTTTCAAGCTACAGAGCCAGAACCTCGGCCGGTCAGTCGTAAGTCATAAGTCAATCCCCGGCCTTATCGCGTGACGGGCTTCAAAGCACCAACTTGGCTAACAAATCTTCGCTTTTGACCGCAGAACGAGTTGTAAATGCCTGGGATATCCTTCGAGCCGCAAAACCTACCAATCTTCACGCCGATAGGCCAACGGGGCTGCTCGCATACACCTTACACTATGGTCGTGAGGCCTTCCGGATGCTGTTTCTCAATGGGCCCGCTTCCGATGGAACAGAACGCAAAGTCAATTCAAATGTTTTACGTGCAGTCGACGAACTCAGAGCCGCCGTGGAAGAAGAGGAGGACCCGGACGCAATGTATCTACTGGCCGAGATGCACTTCCACGGCAATTTCACATACCCGCGCAACTTCAGCGAAGCCTTCCTGTGGTACAACGAGCTGGCATGGCTGACTGGAAACAGCACGGCACAGTCCATGGTTGGTTTTATGTATGCGACGGGCATTGGCAATGCGGTCGAACGTGACCAGGCAAAGGCGTTGATGTACCATGAATTTGCCGCCGAGGGGGAAACACACGATCTGAAATGACACTTGCATACCGATATCATACAGGAATTGGTACACCCAAGAATTGCGATCACGCGATTCTTTACTATAAGAGAGTGGCCGACAAAGCCATGGAGCACTATCGGTCTGGGCCGCCCGGGGGCCATGCTATGATCAGGGAATCCTATCGCTGGGCGGAGGAGGAGGGTGGTGTTTACGGAGAAGGCGCTAGCTTCTCGAGCTCGGGGCATAACGCGCGGGACGCTGCCCACTCCCCTGAAGCAAGTGTTGAGGACCTGATGGAATATCTCAACCTCCTGTCCCACAAGGGTGACTTGAAAGCAACCTTCAGTTTGGGGAAAATGCACTACGAAGGTGCCCGTGGACTTCCTCGTAGTTTTCGACGAGCTATGAAGTATTTCAATATTGTGACGAAGAAATATTGGGCAAAGGATGGATCTATCAGTCCTAACCCACCAGCAGGACTTGACAAGCTGGCTGCCAAGGCGGCAGGACATATGGGTCTCATGTTTCTTCGTGGCGAGGGGGTTGATCAGAGCTTTCCAACTGCTCTCGCTTGGTTCCGACGTGGCATCGAAAATGGCGACGCTCTTTGCCAGCACCAGATGGGGCTGATGTACCTCCACGGCTATGGAGTCCCCCAAGACGCCTATAAAGCGGCCTCTTACTTCAAGGTTGCTGCCGACCAGGATCTTCCGGCATCGGAAACACGACTTGGTGCCCTGTTTTTGGACCAAGGAGATGTAGCGACCGCGACACGATACTTCGATCTCGCCGCCCGTTGGGGATGGATGGAGGCTTACTATTATCTCGCTGAAATGGCGCACTTCGGTGTTGGTCGGCAACCACACTGTGGCGTCGCTGCGGCTTATTATAAATTGGTCGCAGAGAAAGGCGAAGCAATTCACTCGGCATTCGTCGAGTCCAACACTGCCTATGAGGCTGGAGACAATGAAGCTGCTCTTATTCCGGCCATGATGGCTGCCGAACAGGGATATGAACATGCGCAAGCAAATGTGGCATTTATACTTGACGAGCAGCGCTCTCTATTTTCTCTGGATTCCATCCTGCCGTGGGTGAAGAAAACCCGGTCATCCTTAATGCGTAACACTGCACTTGCACTGATCTACTGGACCAGGTCGTCCAAGCAGGCCAACATCGATTCCTTGATCAAGATGGGTGACTATTATCTGGCTGGCATGGGGACAGTGCGTGATGCTGATAAGGCATCGACCTGTTACCACAATGCGGCTGAGGCATACCACAGCGCACAGGCATACTGGAATCTAGGTTGGATGCACGAGAATGGCGTTGCGGTGCAGCAGGATTTCCATATGGCTAAGCGGTATTATGACCTAGCTCTTGAGACCAATTCTGAGGCGTATCTTCCAGTCAAGCTCAGCTTAATGAAACTGAGGGCCCGGGGGTACTGGAACCGCATTACGAACGGAAACGTGAATCCGATTCGTGATGATGAAGGTATGTGGATCTCTCAAGTATACAGCGCCTGCCATTTACTGACTCTTTTCTTTTCCTTTTTTGCATTAGATGTTCGGCCCCGTCGTACCTTCAAAGAATGGATTCAGGCCTTTATCGAGAATGAGGCGCAGTACTATGATGCACTCTATGAGGGACAGGAAAATGATGAAGAATATGCTGGATCACGAACCCTGGACGGAGAGCACGAGGATGGATACTACGATGACCTCGAATTCGATCTTGATGAGGGGATGCTAGAAGGTCTTCTTATCGTCGGACTTGCGGCGACTCTCTTGGTGCTCGTCTACGTCCGACAGCAACAGCAGCGTAATCGTCAGAACCAAAACGCCGCGAATCAGGGAGATGGGAATGTGAACAATGCGAATGCAAATGCGAATGACCGTGGTTTCTTCCCACGGCCTGGCGATCCGGAATTTGGGCAGTGGGTAGCAGGAGGCGTTGGCCATTGAATGATGAACCTGTATTTTGTATGCCGAATTTTAGCTGTAGATAGTAGATAATATCGAAAACATTGAAAACATTGAGCGCATGCACTTACCCGTCCCGGCCTACTGTCTACTTTCAACCTCCATTCTCCATCTCTCCTCCTTCCTCTCTCTTCCCCATCAAATTATCAAATTCCTGCTCCCCTCTAATCAACTCCGACATGAGTAGTCTACCTCAGCCCAAACGTCGTCGCCTTGACGTACCGTCCACGCTTTCCAAACCGTTCAAGCCTCCACTCCGCAAGCCTATCGCCACCGACCCATCACCCAAACGCGCTCCCCAAACTCCAGAGATAGTTCGGCTGGCTAGCGATGAAGCACGTTTCATGTCTGGAAGCTCAGAGGCCAAAACAAACCCTGGATCCTTCTTGTCCTCGCCGTTGACTTCTCCTGCCAACCATCTACGCCGACCTATTCCCCGGTACTCTGGGCTCTCAACACCAACACGATCTCCTCTTGGAGATCCTGAGGTATTGGCATTACAGCGACAGCAAAGTGTGCTACGAGGACGACTGGCTTTACTTCGTTCGGAACTTGATGCAGCAAACCAAGCCCTCCGCATTGAATCCTCGACCCAAGATTCTGAACTGGCGGCTTTGATCATCAAATGGCGACATGTTAGCCAAAAAGCAGCCGATGAAGTATTCGAAGGTGCTCAGGAACGAGTGAAACGCATGGGTGGGATGGCAGCTTGGAGGGAACAAAGCAAGCGAGACACATCTCGGTGGGATTTTGAGAATGAGAATCATGAGCACGAGCACGAGCAGGAGGATGAAGACGAAACTGAAGACGAAGAGCGACCGATCTACTCGGAGGATACCGATGAGACTCCAGGCGTCGATGGAGAAGAGGAGGTCAGTCAACTATCACAAATTCCTTCCTATGGCTGGGGAGTTATCTTAGGGGCTGACGCTATTGGCTACAGGAATTTACTATGAAGTACATGCTGAAGATGCTCAACATCGACCCCAAGACGATTGACTTCGATGCAGTGGTCGGCAAGTGGAATCGGCAGTGAGTCATGAACTGGGGCTGGAATGAAGATGAGGATGAATCTGGATGACAATGGCCGTGATAAGTGAATCTGTGTTCGAAATTGTGTTCCTATCTGCTCGATTTGAGCCTATCAGATTACCACTGGCAGTACTACTACTAGCAGCGTATATGTTAGTCTAGCCTCGGCTGGGCCCCGAAGTGGAAAACCTTCTTATCAATATCAACGGCAAATTGCCCTTCTCCACTCCACCCCCGCATTCTTCTTTCTGCTTTCTTCCCTTTTCCACTCATGTCGCGCCCATTCAAGCAGAGAGATATCGCCTGCGCTCGCTGCTTCCGCTTAAAGCGGAAATGCGATCACGCGAAACCAACATGTGGGGAATGCTACCGCAAAGGCGCTGAGTGTCTTCCTGCTCGATCTCGTAGATCCGGAGATAGCGTTACGATCCCGGTCGCCTATCTCAAGGAACTTGAGAGGCGAGTCGCAGAACTAGAAGATACATCTCGAATTGCTGGCTCACATGTTGAACTGCGCGATGCAAGCGTCCAAACTGACTTCCAAGATGGGTCAATTGGGGAGGAATACACCACTCACGCCATTGAAGACAGGGCCCTGGTCCCATCCCCAACACCACAATCACTATTCCGGCAATCCCCTTTTTCTCCGATCGATTTCGCAAATATCTTCGGCCAAGTCAATGAAGATAATCTTGACTTTTTACATCTCGACAAAGGACCGACATATCCAATCCTTGGAGATGATACACTTTGGCTCACGGAACTCTACACGAATGTCTATTTCTCGGTAGCCCATCGCGAATGGCCTTTCCTCAACGAATCCACATGGAAAAATTGGCACAGGGAAGAAGGCCTCCAGGACCACGAAGAGTGGAGGTGTTTCTTTTTTGAGGATGGTATATGCCATTGGCGCATCCCTCTGCAGCACCATACATAGAGACCCTACACATTTGACACGTGCAAAAGAACTTTATTCATCCGCGATGAATTATTACCCTCATGTTGTGGGTAATACGTCGATGATTCTGCAGGTCCAGGCCTCTTTGCTCCTAATTATCTATGCCTTTCATTGCCCATCTTCCGATGAAATTGCCACAGGTGTTTCCTCCATAATGCCATTCTGCATCACTGCAATGACAGAAATGCGAAAATACATGCGGGTTAACCAGGGAGACAAGACACTTAGTGCTTCAGGGGAAGCCTCAGTCGAGAACATGTTTATCACTTGTTATATGTTAAATGAAATCGTGGCCTCCGGTTGGGATCGACCTGTATCCGCCGCATATCAGGCTGTTGATGATGATGTTAGTACTAGTACCATGAACAACTCCTGAGGTCATCAATGACAAAACTTACTGACGTCTTTTCATTAGTTGTCTAGGCTTGGAGACTCGGTTCAGCCCCCCGTCCAAACACATCCAGCTATAAGTCACCTGTTCAGGCTACGAAAAATCCAAACAAATATCAGGCGGTCCTTGGAAAGCTCTCGCTGGCAGTTTTCGGAGGATAAAAGCGCGTTCAGCTCTTCACTTAAATCAGCTTTGGATCTTTGGCGGCAGGATATTCCGCGTTACGGCACCGACGAAGTCTCCTGTGGCTATAATCACCCTAGCTGGATGACAAAACTTTACGACTATAGCATCTTGATATTGATGGAAGAGAAGAGCAGTTTCCTTGATCAAGACGGAACGGAAGACATATTCTCTGCAGTTGTTGAAGTCTGCCTCAAATTCCGTCACTTCCAGGAGGAAGGACATGTAATGTGTTTCACCTGGTCTGCAGTAAGTACGTCGGAATCATGTTATCTACCTTCTCGCTAACCTTATGTCTAGCTTGTTTTCCAATTCCGGGCGAGTATTATGCTCCTTTATCTGATTTGGGCAACGAGGCCTATAGTGGACAGTCCCAGCTTTCAGCAAGGACCTCGAAGTTATGACTCACCCGAAGCCATCGAAGCATGCACGAAGAATCTGAGGTGCTTTGCAGATCGCTGGGATGACGCTGTTCCGTACTCCAAGGTATTCGAATTCCTTCATCAGAAGGTTCTTTGGCACACCGGTGGGGACAGCACGGCAAATAAAACCCTCGCCCTAGGGGAGGCTGAATCATATCTACAACAGCTGAAGGATAAATACCTTCACCGAGCGATACTTGGGATGATCGAAGATATAATGTATGGAGGTTTTGTGCGATACGAGGAGATTTCGGATGATTATATGACTGAACTAGCTTGTGAGGTGTAAAATCTATAATATCAATATGACAAAATACAAAGTTAAAGAATCTAGTTTTCTTGCCCTCATAGCAAAATTAGTTTGCCAGATGAAGACCCAGATTCAGAGTGTGCTACCACAATCACAATTGTCTGTTTCACTGCGGGGCTTTCCCAGGACTTCCACTCACTATCTCTGTCAGAAATTGGGTAGATGGAGGTAATATTCCACTTCTCCCCTTCCCGAGAAACTTCGCAACGCTCCCCGTTGACATAGCAAGAAACACTCCTCGCTGTAGAGCTGACAGAGCCCTTGACTTCAACAAAAGCCTTTGAGTCGCGAACTTCCTTGCTCTGGGTGGTCACGAGAAGCTCCAATTCGTCCCGAGCCGCAGTTGCGCCAAATGTACTGCCAGTTGGGAGATAGTCTGAGTCGAGTGCCGGGGTACCGGATGGTTGAACACGGGATTTGGAGGCCATCTCAAATGCAAAGCCGTAGCTCAGAATATCATTATCTTCGTACGCTTTTCCGGCGAATGTAAGATTGACTGGCATATTTGTGTCGTCCATGATTCCCATTGGTACCGAGATGGTCGGAACTCCAAGGTGACGAATAGGCCGGTTTCCATTGGAGTACTTGACACCATTTGTCCAAGCAAAATCAGAGGCATCTTTATTCACATCAGCATCCGCAGCACCGATATCTCCGTTGGCTGGGAAGACCACTGCATCTAGGCCATTTTCGTCCATCCACTCCTCAAAGGTTTTCTTTCGGGCATCCTCCAGCGCTTGAACTGCTTGCTTTATTTCGGGTATCTCGAATATTGATGCTGGCTTAGTGCGTGGGTATTCCACGATCTCCCCCCATCGGGGCTTATTAGCTGCTTCAGGTGTACCCAAGAGTGATCCGGGTGCAAGTGGAAAGATGTCATCGGGGTCGACGTAGGTCAAAGACCGAAGGCCGTTCTGGTCATTTGTGGCGAGAAAGTCGTCCCAGGCATGGGAAACGACCTCACATCGCTCCTTGCTAGCCCAACCATCAGGAAGATTTGCAACTGTGACGAGTTGGCCTGTTGATGCATTAGACTCATACGTAGTCACCAAGGGAAAATCAGTCTCAATGACTTCAGCGCCGCATGCTTCTAAAGTCTGTTGCGCTTTCTTCCATAGCTTGAGGATTGAAGGACGGGTATTGACTTTGCTGACTTGTGGAATGGAAGAGTCATCCCCTCCAATGTACATCGAAGGTACGGCAATCCGTTTACCCTTCAGCGATGATTTATCTCCCAGCGTGGAGAAATACTTCGGTCTGATGGAGGTTATTGAAGGAATGGCAACAACCGATTGCTCATTGTAAAAATCTCCAACCGGGGTTTGGTCTGCGACAGCCAGAACATCGAGAACACAGAAGAGATCTGCCACGGTCTTCGTATGTGGGACCAATACATCGCAGGTAGGATATAGAGGGAAAACACCACGGAGAGGCAATAGACCCTTTGATGGAGTATAGGCTACAACAGCATTGTTCGAAGCCGGTGATCTCCCCGAGGAAACAGTCTCAGTTCCCAGGGAGAATACACAGAGATTGGCACTCGTCGCAACCGCGGACCCGTTGGATGAGCCCGAAGCATAAGCTGCGGCTAAATAATCAGAGTTGTATGGACTTTCAGCACGTCCCCATACTCCGCGTTGCATTCCACCATACGCCATGGCTGGCATATTTGTGCGGCCCAAAAGTACCGCGCCGGCATTGCGGAGAATCTCCACGCAAGCCGCGTCCTCGTTTGCAATGAGTTTTTCAAAGGCAGGCGAGCCATTCCCAACCACCATTCCTTGAACTTTGATATTATCTTTCACCAAATAGGGAATTCCCTCCAGTGGTCGTGGTGGAAGTCCCTGTGTGCGCCTGGCATCTGAGGCCGCCGCTTCGTCAAAGACGGCTGGATTGAGGATTGGGATAGCGCTCAGCTTCAATCCATTTGCATCATAAACACTGATTCTTCGCAGATAGCGCGATACAAGATCCACGCTCGTCAGGGAGCCCGAGGAGAGAACATTTTGTAATTCTGCGATACTCGCGTCGAGAAGATCCAGGTGTTGACCGACTGGTGATGAAGGCATTTTTGTAATCGAAAAGAAAGAAGAAGAAAAAAGAAAAAAGAAATATCACCTATTAATTATTTATACTGAGCTTCCAGAACCAGATGAGATGACCCACCAAAAGAGCAAGTCCTCACGACTGAGTTTCTTTGCCCAAAGAAAGAAGGTTTATACTACGATTGACGTCGTGCGAAGGCGGAGGCGGAGAGGCAGCGGAGTCAGCGGAGTCTTGTCCGCTCTTCCCAGCGGGCAGCTGTCCGCCTATCACTTTTGCTGAACTGTGAGGGGAACATCCCATAGGAATGTCAAGATAACAGCTTATCTACTTGGCAAATGATAGCCGTAAGGTGTCAAGGTTGTCGAGATTGTCTAGTCGAGGTATTTAAAGCTGCAGTTTGACCTTGTCCGAAGTATGTTCGTTCAGAACTCTCAGTACTTGTGCTGTTAGCCTGTTTGAACTTATTCTCAATTCATCATGGATTTAAAAGAGTCAGAAGTGGATCAAGCGCCAACTGTGGAGAAGGATGTTACACTCGGGGAGGTCCATGATATCGGCGCCAATCTATATGTGGAAGCCGAGCAGCTATCAGCCGAAGATTTGGAGCGAGAGGGTGCTGAGGTACTTCGCATTCTAGACTGGAGAATCATGCCCATTGTAAGTAGTGGCCGGTATATCCTCCTTCCTTCGAGTTACGTTGGACTTCCGTTAACCACAGTGGCCTGGTGCTTCAGCTCTATGTCACCTATGTGATTCAATTTCTCGGTACGGTGCCCCTCCCACGATTCTTCGCATACTATATCAGCTAACGTTATACTACATGAAAACACAGACAAGCTATCCCTAAACTATGCCTCCGCCTATTCCCTCATCCCCGATCTTGGACTTGAAGGACAGAAATACTCTTGGGTAGCTGCTATCTTCAATTTTGGATATCTCTTCTGGGCAATTCCGGCCAATCTCCTGATCCAAAAGCTCCCTGTAGCAAAGTATATGGGTGGTATGCTTCTAACCTGGAGCATACTTGTCATTGCCCATATCGGAGCAAGGAACTATGCGGGGATCTTGGTGCTCAGATTCTTGCTAGGCATGGCTGAGGCCGGAGTTAGCCCTTGCAGTAAGAACACCACGGAGCGTGCATAATTTAGCTTGGGCGTTAACCCAAACAGTGATGGTCATAACATCGATGTTCTACCGGCGCTCCGAGCAGCCTTTACGCATGGCTATTTGGTTGAGTGCCAACGGCATGGCGACTATGGTTGGAGCCCTTTTGGGATTTGGCCTCGGACACCCACACAACACGACACTTCATAGCTGGCAGCTAATCTTTCTGACGATTGGACTCCTCAACTTCGTTTGCGGCGGTGTCTTCCTCATGTTAATGCCCGACTCTCCCAGCTCTGCGCGATTCCTAACCCATCGCCAAAAGCTTGTAGCCGTGCGGCGAGTAGCAGAGAACATGATCGGAGTGAAGACTAAACAGATCAAGCCTCGACAGGCATTAGAAAGTATCTACGATGTGAAAGTGCTTTGCTGTGCGGGAATTGGCATCGCCTGTGGTGTGATCAATGGCGGCGTGTCGAACTTTGCCTCTTCGTTGATCAAAGGATTCGGATTCAGTGGAATCTATGCCACCCTTCTCCAACTACCCACGGGTGCTTTTGAGGCTGCCATAGTCCCAATATGCGGTATTGTTGCCACAAATGTCCCCAATTCACGCTGTATAGTTCTTGCTATTGTGTGTCTGATTCCTTTCGGTGGTTTACTTGGTATTCGATTTACCAGTCTCGACCACCGATGGACTTTAGTCGGATGCACGTGGCTCCAGTATATCATTGGCGCGCCAGTGATTGTCTCTTGGAATCTACTGTCTACAAATGTGGCCGGTCATACCAAAAGAGCTGTCGCCAACGGTATTTGGTTTACGATGTATGCTGCAGGAAACGTTGCAGGGGCCAACATCTTTTTTTCTCGCGAAGCCCCGCGATACTATTCTGCTCTTACTGGGCTATTGGTCTGCTATGCGGGAATAATCGTTCTCTCTATCATGGTATACATCTCGATGAGATGGGACAATACGCGAAGAGAGAAAAGAGCGAATGCCGAGAACCTTGCCGGAGAAGATGTTGCTTCCCAGGCCATTTTAGATGGTTTCAAGGACATGACGGACATGGAGTCCAAGCATTTTAGATACGCCCTCTGATGTTGATCTATTGTGGGCCATTTGTCTATATCTAATCCTTACTGACGAAATTCGGTCTTGGTGTGATTTTTTCTCTCGGGGAGTTTAGGGGTTGTAGGAGTTTAGATTTAACTAGAAAAATCACCAGTCTCGTAGTATTATGGCGAGTAAGCCGAGAGAAATTTCATACCGGGCAGCAGTGTCTAAATAGAAAAATAGGTGTGATACTAGTAGTAACCGAAATATTCCGAAGGCAAACTTGGAAGAGAAGACCTTGGTCTCTCCGGTCTAATCACGATTTCCTATTGGACTTCACACTGCGTCAACATGGATGATAGATATTACAAGTGGGTTAATTTATGAACTACAGCAATACACTATGCCCAGTGATAACCTCTAAAGGACGAATGTCATTAAAATTCTTTTTTATTCAGCTCCCTACGGTCTGTGTACAGAACGGGAGAAAATCAAACAAATACACAGCCCCCATTGCGCTCTTCATGCAAAGGAAAAGAAAAAGAAAAAGTCTAGAACCGTAGAAGGTTCTGAGAAAGATTCCGAAGCGCTGAGGCAGCCTTCAAGAATACAACTCAAGGTACAACAAGTTGACCCGAGTCGCGTTCGAAAGCTAAGAACACAACGTCCCAGTTCTTCCCCACGAATCCATCCACATCCACTCATGAAAAGGGGAGGGGGCAACAAATCTCGTTCTCAATTTTGGAAACGAATCAAAGGCTGAGCTGGGGCATCTTCAGAGGGGCAAAAAATGGATAAGGCGAGCGAAAGCTCGTGAGCATTGCTAAAACAGATACAATCGAAAGTGGCAAAGAGGCCCGGATCGTTAAAAAAAAGATGACCATCCAAGTCCGAGATCTCAAGTGCAAGATGATTCTTTTTGTGGTTTATTTGAAAGTTTTGGTGTTGATACAAGGGTACTGAAGCCCTGAAAGGGCGTGCCTTGTCGGAGCAAAACTCACTGGCGAGGAGACCTTTTCGACATGTTAGCTAAAGCACCAAACTCTGTCCAAGAATTTCGAGACTTACGTTGGACTGTAAGCCGGAGAAGTTGGGCTGTAGCCCGGAGACGTCGGCGAGCCAGAGAAGTTAGGGGACGTCGGCGAGTACGACTGGGGGCTCGTGGGAGACCATCCAGGCGAGGTGGGTGTGTACTTGGGGGATGTCGGGGAGGTGGGGGACAGGTGTCGCCCACCACCAAGCGCAGGGCTGGTAGGACTGTAGCTGGGAGACGTCGGGCTGAAGGCAGGAGAGGCCGGGCTGAAGCTAGGTGACGTCGGGCTGTAATTGGGCGAGGTTGGCGAGAACCCAGGCGACGTAGGTGAGTACGACGGCGAAGTCGGCGATGCTTGACCATAGGCAGGCGAGGTCGGCGAGTACGCTGGGGATGTAGGAGCAAACGACGGACTTGTGGGCGAGAATCCGGGACTGGTGGCAGAGAATCCAGGGCTTGTCATACCCATACCCATACCCATACCCGGGGAGGTAGGGGAGTAGCTTGACGATGGAGAGTAGCCAGGAGACGTTGGGCTGGTGTTGAACGGGCTGCTGGGAGAGTAGCCCGCGGGGCTGCGAGCTGCAGGACTGGTGAATCCACTGAGAGGATCGGATTGGTAGTTGTGGAAGCCAGGAGATTCCGAACCAGGCTGTCGGATAGGAGAGAAACTGGCATCGGGATCGCCATCAACCATGTAAGGAGTGCTAGACAAGGGCGAGGCGCTGTCATACTGGGTGGCAGCACCATCCGGAATCATTGCGTCCTTGGCACCACCAGTGTTCATGAGTCCGAAGCGGGCATTGTTCGACACGACTGTGTTGAGCAAAGTCTGATCCAGGTAGACATCAAACTCTCCCGTTCCAGCGGGGGCCATCTGTCCAAGAATCAGATTCTCAGAAACACCGCGGCAATCGTCAAGTTCTCCGAAGGCAGCAGCTTCGAGAAGAATTTCCACAGTCTCCTCGAAAGAACAACGCATGAGCGCACCATTGTCGGCACGGTTGATACCGTGACGAGTAACAGGGGTCAGGTAGCCGCGAACAGTCATTACATCGACCAGCAGGGCCAAGTGACGGTGGTTGACATAGGAACCATCGAAAGCCAGCACTTGTGTCAACTCACGGAGCAAAGCGGTACGAGCGGCCTCAATACCGAAGACCTCGAAAATTTCGATAAACTGGTTCGAGTAGGTACGAGTAGCGTCAACGCCCGGAAGAGAAAGGACGGGTGCAAGAGACGAGCCGCTGGTCTCGAGAACCCACTCCTTGCAAAGAGGGTCCGACTTGCTCGTGTGCAAAGTGCCATCGTCCAAGATACGAACTTTGCTCTTCTCGTTGATGAAAGCACGCTCAACGCCGGGAACACCACGAAGGGTCAGGGTGTCAAGAAGATGCTGCTCAAGCTTCTTCAATGTAACGTCGTACTCGACATCATCGTCTTCATCATCCTTGCCATCCTGGATCTGACGAATACGGATGACCTGCTCATCGGCGTTGTTGTCACTGAAAAGAACTGCAATATCGCGAGGATAAGCCTGCTTGATCTTACTGGCGACGTCCTGAACGGTAAGACCCTTGTCAAGAAGCTTGGGGCGACTGAGGACGATACGAAGCAGCCACTTCGATTGGAGATTGGTGTCATCGCCAACATCCTCTGGGATAATGAAGTAGGACTCGACCATATCCCGATCGTTTTCAATGACAGTAGACTGAATATCGGGATCGTAATAGATCTCAGTAGCCTCGGTAACAGACCGCAGACTAGTGTGCTCCACAACGCTTCGCAATTGTTTGGCTCCCTCCTTGTCATATGTCTTGTCTCCGATTTGGTAGACAGTCATAGAAGGCGTCTTGATATTTGTGGCAACATTGAGAATCTCCTTGAGACGAGGCACACCGAGAGTGACGTTCTTGGATGACACACCAGCAAAATGGAAGGTGTTGAGAGTCATCTGGGTAGCAGGCTCACCAATGGACTGAGCTGCAAGAACTCCAACCATTTCACCGGGATTGGCGCCCGCACGAGCAAATCTGTTCTCAATGGCACCGATAACGTGTTGGAATGCAAGCTTGTTGAGCGAATAGTCCGTCACTAGTCGGCGGAAGGCGAGACGGCTGCGCAGTTGAGCCTTGAAGAGCAGGGTAGCATTGTCTTGCGCCTCGCGAGAGATATCGTCATCTCCGCGAACAACAATGAGTCGGTCGAGGAGCGCCTGCACTTGAGGAACGACTTCAGCAGGGTGCAAATCACTGATGGTACCTTCGCGGATTCGGAAAGTAGTGCGTGCCATTTCCAGGATTCGCTGGATGTTGATGGGAAGTTGCATCATCTCCTCGTCTTCCTTGGCAACAGTGCGAAGGAAGTTGCGAGACTCGATAAGAGCCTCCCATTCCTCATCCAGGTACTTCTGAACTTCCATATCACCCGCAATTTCATTAGCTTGCTCCAAGACTTCAGGTCCGAGGCTACGCTCGGGGTCCATCACATCAACACGGAAACGCTCTCTCATTTTCTCGTCGGAGCATCGAATGATGTCAACTCGTTGGTTCTCAATGTGGGCACCATCTAGGCCATCCTCACCATAGATGAACTGGATAATGTCTCCCAAATGAATTTCGAACGGTGCCATCGTATTTGACCATAACTTCTTCCAAGGCCTTGACCAACTTACGCTGGATATAACCAGTTTCGGCTGTCTTGACGGCAGTATCAATGAGACCTTCACGACCAGCCATAGCGTGGAAGAAGAACTCAGTGGGGGTGAGACCACGGAGATAGGAATTCTCGACGAATCCTCGAGACTCAGGAGAGTAATCATCCTTCGTAAAATGCGGCAATGTGCGATACTTGAAACCGAATGGGATACGCTTTCCTTCAACGGATTGTTGACCCACAACTGCAGTCATCTGTGAGATATTGATAATCGAACCCTTGGAACCAGAGCGAGACATCTGGATTGCATTGTTGATATCCTTCAGACTCTTTTCGGTAGCAGCACCAGCTTCGTCACGGGCGTTGTTAAGAGCACGGGAAACCTTACTCTCGAAGGTTTCACGGACGTTCATACCGGGCAGAGCTTCGAGAGTGTTCTCGGTAGCGCTGGCAGTAATGGTATCGACTTCCTGTTTGCGCTCACGAACAGCGTCTTCGATCTTGTTGATCGTGTTCTGATCGGGAATCGTATCACCGATACCGATACTGAATCCGTGGTGCAGCAACCAGTAGTTGACAATGGTTTGGCAGCCGTTGAAGAAATTGACCGCAGTATCACAGCCATATTCATTGAAGATGGTATGGATCACACCACCACCGCTGGCACCGACGGTCTTCTTGGAAAGCATACCATAGAGCAACTGTCCGCCATGGATCAGCAGGCCACCGTCATTAAGAGGGCTAAATTTCTCGGAGAGTGGCGAGCTGTCCTTGTCGATACGGAGGAGGTTGAGACCAGTGGGGAAGGCCATACTGATCATCTGCTTTCCGGTCCAGCGAGGACGGGGCTTGAGAATGGCGGGAGCGGGGATGATTCCGTCCCAGTCAGGGACCCAGAGCATAATGTTCATGACTTGATCCTTGGTCAGGAAAGTGTCACGACGGCAAATCTTGTAGACACCACACAAAGTGTCCTGCACGATACCCATAAGAGGGCCGTTACGTTGGGGGGACACAATGTTCTTTGGAACAAGGGCAAGCTCAGAAAGCTCGGCCCGGGCTTCTTCGCTCTGTGGAACGTGCAAGTTCATTTCGTCGCCGTCGAAATCGGCGTTGTATGGAGTGGTGACTGACAAGTTGAGACGGAAAGTCGAGAATGGCATGACGCGGACGCGGTGAGCCATCATGGATTCCTTGTGAAGAGAGGGCTGACGATTGAACAAAATGACATCGCCGTTATCAATGTGACGTTCGACCTTCCAGCCGTAGAGAAGCTGCTGCGCACCAGCACGCTTGGCGTGACGAAGATCAATACGCTCGCCGTTGTCCCGAACAATGTACCTGGCACCAGGGTGCATGTTGGGTCCTCTCAGACCAAAGCTTGCAGCTTCTCGATGTTGTATGGAGTTACCACCTCTGGGTAGGTGAGAATTCGTGCTGTCGAGATAGGCACACCAACCTCATCAAGAGACAAGTTGGGGTCGCCAGTAATGACGGTACGTGCAGAGAAATCAACACGCTTTCCCATCAAGTTTTGACGTAGACGACCTTCCTTTCCTTTCAAGCGGCTACGCAAGGCCTTGACTGGACGGTTGCCCTTCTGCATCGCCTTGGGTTGACCAGCAATATCATTATCCATGTAAGTTGCGATATGATATTGCAGGAGGGACTCAAATTCGCGGATGACGTGCTCCGGGGCACCTTCTTGCTCGCAACGTTGAACATTCTGGTTGGCGCGGACAATTTCAGCCAGCTTGTAAGTCAGATCATCCTCACCACGAGAGCCACTTGTGGCACCCATCATGACACTGGGGCGAACGGTCGGAGGGGGGACTGGAAGAACTGTGAGAACCATCCATTCGGGGCGAGCATAATCGTTGCTCAGACCCATGACATCAACCTCCCTGGTTGAGATGTTTCGGAAGATATTCAAAGCCATCGCAGGTGTAATGACCTTCTTCTCTGGCTGAGCCATTTCGTCTTCCATCATGGCCTTGCTAGGCTTCCAGGAGCCCACAAGGGTGATACCCTCCTTGCGAACGGTGGGTTGAGCATTACCACAGCCACCGTGTCTGTTTACCTCCTTCTCGCCTCCCTTTTCATAATCGTCATCGTCGGGTGTCGGATCGGCTTCGCAAACTAGGATATCTTTGGAAAGTCTCCAAATGTGATCGAAACGTCGCTTGGGGTCTCGCATGCGCGCAGCTTCTCTAAACTTAGGATCCGCCTGATTTCAACGTTAGCAAAACATGCCATCAAAGTTTGCCATCCCGGTGAGGGATGACTAACCGCGTTGGCCTTGATCTTTCCACAGTTGTGGCAGACAGTCTCCAGGATCTTCTTAATCTTGGTCAAAAAGCCTAGCAGAAAAAGATTTGCAAGTCAGCAGCCATCTAAATTTCATCCTCGTCCATGGTAGATACATACCGATATGGAATACTGGGGCGGCTAGTTCGATGTGGCCAAAGTGACCAGGACACTCCTTGGGGCCTTCTTCGCAAGTCTCGCAGTTATACTGACGATCGATAGTACCCAAGCGCGGGTCATTAACACCTTTGGTCCGTGGTCGTTGGCGTTGCTCATCCTAGGGGTTTCCAAAAATGTCAGAGCTCGCGTTCGAAGCGGATTTCTTTGCAGTGTGAAAGAAACAGCAATCACTTACCATTGTTTCCGGGTATTCGACGTGAACCACACTCATGCGCTTGGTTTCCTCCGGAGAGAAAAGACCAAACTGGATCTCCTTAATGGTGCGCAAAGGCGCCTTGGAGAAGGGAAAGAAAACGTTCGACATCGTGGCGGTTGCGGTTGAAGGTGCGAAAATGACAGGCCGGGGGATGGATTTGGCGGGTCCGTTAGCACTGGCGCGAACCTGGGGAAAACGAAAGATGTGAGGTCGTTATGATTCGCAAAAACTGAAGTGACGGGATTGCTCGAGATTCGAGATTCGAATAGGCGCCGAAGCGATGATGAAACGAAGGGAGGGTGGAAGCAGCTGGCCGGCTGAGGCCTTTGGCAGCCCTTGCCACGAGGGCGCCCGCGACCTGAGGTCCCTGAACGTCACGAAGCCGTAGGAAAGAGAGAAGACGTGGCGCGCAGAATGGCTTCGCGTGAGAAAATCTCCTGGAGAAGTATCGCGATGCGAAACGCGATATTCTTAGATGGCGGAGGTGATGGATGTCGGGTCGGATGAGGTTGAAAGGGAGAGGCGAGGCGACCTTCACCCGTTTGATGGGGCTTGAGTTTTCGACAGGCCGGAGGGCACCCGAAACGGTAAGCGGTGTAACTGGCAGAATCGCGGCATCAAGATAGTCATTTGGCCGATGGGGCTTGGCATCCACGCAGGCTGTCAGTCGCAAACAAGCAGGTAACCATTCACTACTCTGCACATCGCATTATTCAAGCTTGGTTTTCTAGTGATCCGCGGATGTCTTTTCACTAGAATACGGGCCTACTTTGCAGGCGCTTGGGAATTGTGGACCTTGAAATCAGCTATCATCGCCTCCGCCCACCACGATGAACCTTTCTCTTATTGATCCCTTCGTCCTGGCACAGGACTACCCTGACACTTTAACAGAGAAGCTCCGTATGCACATATGATATTTTCCCAGTGAATCGGTACTAATTGCCTTTAGAGAGCGGACATGCGACCTGTTTACGATTCGACCATACCGGTGACTATCTAGCTTCTGGAAGAGTGAATACACCTCCCCAGTGTTGCATTTGGACGGCGTGAGATCAGGCAAGACGCTAACCCTGCATGCTAGGTCGATGGAACGGTCGTCATCTTCGATATCGAAACGAACGGCGTAGCTCGCAAGCTGCAAGGGCACACCCGCCAAATTCAATCTCTCAGGTACACTCTTCTGGTTATGGGGCAAGGAGACTGAACCGGCATTCGGTGCTAATATCTATCGGCAGCTGGTCTCGAGATGGCCGATATCTTCTCACTTCATCACAAGACTGGAAATGTATTCTGTGGGACATAAAAGACGGCTCACGTGTGCGCACAGTCAGATTCGAGGCACCTGTGTACATCGCGGAGCTGCATCCATTCAACCAGTATGTCTTTCCTCGCCCACGCTTAATCTATTCTCCGATGCAGAATCTAACGATGACTCTCTATTTAGCCTTCTCTTTGTCGCCTCACTTTTCGAAGATCAGCCCGTTCTAGTCGACGTCTCCTCCCCAAAACCTATCAAACGAATCCTACCTTCCGCACCTCTCCGTCCACAGGCTACAAATGGTGAAGAAATTGACCCGGCCGTTGCAGCGAAACAAGCAGCTCAAGATGCAAAGCATTCGACCTGCGTGACGATATTCACGGCATTTGGAAATCACATAATTGCGGGAACGTCGAAGGGGTGGATTAATATTATTGAGACGGAAACCTGCACCACTATTCACTCCATGCGCCTCTGCAATGGAGTCGTCATTCTGCTCCGTCTCGCTAGTAACGGCCGAGACTTGCTAGTCAACAGCTCCGATCGCGTCATTCGCACCGTCCTCATGCCCGACCTTTCCCAACTCGGTATCGATCTCGAGCCTTCCAATATCAAACTCCAAGTCGAACACAAGTTCCAAGATGTCGTCAATCGACTAAGCTGGAACCACGTTACCTTCTCTTCAACCGGCGAATTTGTCACCGCCACCACATTCATGAACCCCGACGTCTATGTTTGGGAACGTGGGCATGGATCCCTAGTGAAAATTCTTGAAGGACCACGCGAGGAACTAGGCGTGGTAGAATGGCACCCATCCCGACCATTGGTTGTCGCCTGTGGCCTGGAGTCCGGCTGTGTGTATATCTGGTCAATCATCAGTCCACAGAAGTGGTCTGCACTCGCGCCTGATTTCGGCGAGGTTGAAGAGAACGTGGAGTACGTGGAGCGCGAGGACGAATTCGACGTGCACCCAGCCGAGCAAGTTCACCAGCGTCGTCTTGATCTCGAAGATGAAGAGCCTGATGTCGTCACCCTCGACCGGATCAAAGGTGATATTGAAGGGGATGCGGTTGGCACCTTCGGTGTACCTGTACTTCTCGATATTGAAGACAGCGAAAGCGGCGAAGATATCATTGCTGTTGGCCCCGGTACCATGCGACGACGGACTCCCGGGACTGGTCGGGAAGCTGTCAACGGTGATACCGGTAAAGACTCCGGCTCTACTGCGCAAGGTGTGTCGCGTGGTGCGGCTAGGAATCGCCGACGGTAAAAGTGACTTTGCTATGTTTCATCATTCGGCGTATTGCCCGGTTGCCAACACTACTATGCATTGGATGATGGCGTTAAGGCGGTTAACGGCGTTTTTCTTATTTTGTAAAGTCGGGGTTCGTTGACCTGAAAGGACGTGGAGACGAAACCAGTCCTTCTGGTGTAGGATTTGATATATGATGATTTCATTCTTCAAGAATTTAGATACCCTTACGATGGATAGGATGAATACCAAGTCTTACTACATGCATGCGGTTTCTACTACAGCATATTACAATAGTGTACGACGCCAACTTTAGAAACTCTAGAGCTGTATGAGTGAGTTGATCGGAGACATGTTGATTTATCTGCTAGCAAACTCAACCACGAGAGCTAAGGTGCAATTAGCAACCTGGGTATATACACCAAGCCGAAACAAAAGAGGCTCGGTCCGGAACGCCATATATGCTAAAAATAGCATGCAAAAACAAAAGAAACATGAAGAAAAGTCCAGGGATATAAAGCGAGTCATGATCATCGATAGCCAAGTCGAGTTTTGCAAATGAAGCTGGCACAGTTTGCTGCGGTTTCGATCACGAGCCACCCTCGTGTGCTGCAATCAAGGAGAGGTAAAGGCTCAAGGCCGGGGTTGCAAGAGATTCTGGGGTTGTCTCTGGGAAAAAGAAAAGAAAAAAGCATGCATTCTTCCCCGCTCAGTTGGTTGGGTTGGAAATTTGGACGCGTATGACATCCGCCCATATGCTAGTTGAGCATTGCAAGTTTTGCGAAATCATCTTGTTTGTGCAAGTTCTTACTTCCACCGAGTCGAAATTCAACCGGATATGAGATGCTGCAAATTGACTTGGATTGCCGGGTCACATCTGAGACCTGGGGCCATCGCACTGCAGAATCCCTGTCGAGCTTGCAACAAGATCAGAACATTCTGGGATTCATTCATCTCAGCCCCACGCTGGCCGTCAGATGAGGGCCGTCACGGTCGTCGTCATCGTATTCCAAGGGAGACCGCCTGTTCGGTTTAATTCGCGAGTGGTTTACGCGCTTGATAGATGTGCAAGATGTTGTAACAGTGAAGGTCCTTGTTGAAGGCTTCCGCTTTGACATCAGCTGCAATGCGCTGGATCTTGTCGACAGGCCAACCGTATACACGGCTGAAAGGAGCCAGACTCAGCGACTCAATGCTCTCCGAGATTGCGAGGTTATACCAGCGAGCCACTTTTTGCTCGTGCTCATCGTTGTGCCAAGGGTTCAGGGGAAGGCCCACCATCTGATGATCAATTTCAGTGAATCCCGCGTCTTGCAGATTGCGGATGGTTTCGCGTGAGCTGTGAGCCAGAGGGCGGGTACGGGACTCGGTCGCATTCTTCAATGCGGAATACCAATGGCGGAGAGCAAGCCCAGTTAACGAACGGTCATCGCAGCGAGGTTCAAAGTCGATCTCCACTTGCTCAAACCAACCACCGGGGCAAAGGTGAGAGAAAATGCGTTTGTAAAGACTTGGCCAGCTGACAACGCTGCCGCTACCCATCTGCATGTGAACAAGGTCCCAGGAGTCTTCTCCGAGAGTCCAGGGGCTTTCAAAGTCGAAGGGAGCGTAGAAGTCGCAGTTCTTGGGGCAATTGGCTGGCTGGATTGGTGCGATGTCGACACCGACCACGAATGAGTCCGGGTATTTATTTGCGACTTCCATGCTCCATATTCCTGTTCCGCATCCTAGATCCAAAATCCGTGAATTAGGCGGGTGCGGTGCATAGATTAAGCCATCGGAGACTCGAGCGACCGTAAAAAGCTTGTGGAAGATATCGAGACGATCCTGTTCGTCGTCATCGCACGGGAGCATATAAATGCCCTTGCGGTAGCTATGGTACATGCGACCGTTTTCTTGATAGGGTGGGTATTTTTCGGGGATTCTGTTATTAACAAAAACAAGGCCGTTAGTCAGTCAAGTCCTCGAGTGAGATCGCGGTCAAGGGAGGGAAAGAGCTCGAGGCTATCAGGGACGTACTTGCGATTGGAGATGAGCATTGGTGGAGACGGGCGCGAAGCTTGGGAAACCTGCGAGGAATGAGACGCGACAGAGCCATTGCTGGTGAAACGACCAGCGACTCGCCGGTCTCTCTCGGCAGGATCACGATCGGTGATCATATATATGTCCATCGCGGTCGATGTCTGCCGTGAGCGAGCCCGCTCGCTCGTGGGTACCGATTGGGAGTGATAATATCTCGAACGTCCGGCATCACTGGCGGGTGTCGACTCGGACTTGTATCGCTTTGCGGGGGTGGAGAAGTCATGGTGGGCGGCAACCTACGTCGAGGCTGGCTGTTCGCGTATAGGTTGTTGGAGTCGACGAGTCTGAGGGAATCGTAGGTGCGCAAGAGGAGAACAGCCTCAGAGGCTCAGAGGAGGAAGATTGAGATCACCGATCGCGCACGGGGAGAATTGGTCCAGGTCAGGGCATCGACGGAGCTTCCCAGCCACCACACACAACACTCGAGGGGCAAGCAACGAAGCACGCTATGCAGGTGATGAAACAGCCAACAAGTAAGGGTGGGCGTTGGGCTTTAGAATCGATAGGCCCCGGGGTGATGGAACTAAAGAATGAATGGAGATCGAAATGGAGATTGAGTGGACCAGGGCGAGGGCTCAGGTGAGGTCGAGGACGGGGCGGCTGAGACAAATTGGGGGCCGAGAGGAATGAACAGTGGCATTTGCGTCGGGGAGAACACACAGCTTCGTCACCACTCAACCAATCCCAGAAACATCCCAAGGACGGTTCGAGAGAGGGGGCGAAAGAATGAGGAGGGGAAGAGAACCCACGGAAAGCGAGCAGGGCGAGGGTTTTAAGGTTGTGTAGCCGCTGAGTTGTGCTCGGGAGGGTCCACGGTCCAAGTCGTCCACATAAGTCCACACAGTCCACAGCTGGGTTGGCGTGGGGGCGGATACAACAGGCGGGCAGAAATGGTAGGGGAATGTCGATAATTTGGAGAGTGGAGGATATAGAGGATATAAAGGATACAGATAATATCGAGGGAGGTGAGAACAGAAGCTCACAGAAAAGTGCAGCACAGGAAACAAGAAGAACCGAGCTCAGGGGGGGGGAGCAGCGGTCTGATACGTCTTCTGGCAGAGTGGTTCGGTTGGTCTCCAGCTGGTTTTCGGGTTCTGGTCTCTGTGGTCTGTGGTCTTTAGTCGCTGGAAAGAAAGTCTAACCAGTCCACAGCCCCGGGTTACGGTGCATACTAGTTAGTATACTGGTATACTGGTATACCAGTATAGGTATACTCTGTAGTCAGTACTAGTACCAGTACCAATACTCCTAGTAGTTTATCTCTAGAATATCTTCTTTCCTATACTATTTACCCAGATCCTCCAGATGAACCATGTTGAGCCCTACTCTTACAATACGACCTAGCGTCAGCCTTTTTAGTCCCAAGATCGACGGCTCCACTGCTTTACGCGGGCGGGAGGCGGTCCGTCTGGATCCTTTGCATCCTGATATACTGTACAGTACGCGTACACCTGGGCAGAGTACTCGTACGAGTACAATCTGATCAGTGTGCCCAGCTATGAGTACTGAGTACTGAGTACAGAGCACTCGTACGCGTACTAGTTAGTACTATTAGTACTACAAGTAGTACTAAATCCATTGGTATCCCATATCCCATATCCCATGTCCCTTATGCCAGCTGCCAACTCCCATGCTACAATCCCTGTTCCCTCCCTGTCCAGGGCTACCCAGAGCTTCGGGTTTGCACAACAACACCCAACACCAAACACCGCCCATCCCGTGGTCGTGCTCGGTTCGCTTAGACCGGTCAGCATTTCCCTTAACCAGGTCGCTGGGTATCCAGGCCCTCCCAGCTGCCAGCTGCCCAGCCCAACTGACTCGGCCATCCCCCCGGTCTCCCTCGCCCCCATCGCGCTAATGACTGTGCGGCGTTCTTGCGATCGGGCAATCATCGAATGTATCAACTTTATCCCACCCCCTCCCCCCTAGTCGAAACTTTGCTTCCGGTGCCCATGGAACTTCCCACGGCCAAGACTGAGGCTGGGAGTGCAGGATCCAATCGCCTGGAATGACTGTCGAAAACCACATCCCCCACTGTCCTCAACCAGAAGTACTGACAGTACTGACACTCTCACTCTTGGCACTGCCCATCTGAAGGTCGATCGGTTTCAGCAGAGGTACGAGTACTGGGGGGTACATGTAACTCACATTACCAGCCCCCACTCATTTCCCCCCAATATGGCAGCTTAGACGATTTGTGAAGGCGATCCGGCGCTTCTAGGACAACTTGCATCTTCGTAGGTACGGACCACTGTACGAGTACACTGGGCAGCAACCTCGATGTGGATCAAACCCCCTCCTGCATCCACCAGAACACAGACCACTCTCGCCTCGGATCTTCCATGGCATGACGCCGACGGCTTCCGCGGAGACATTAGGGTTGCGCCTCGCTCCACCTACCTGTAAGGTTTGGGCGGTCTTGTTCGGCCTCTGTTCTACGTAGCTGGTGACTGAATCGCCGAACTTGACTGTCCATCTTCTAGAAAACATTCATTCCATATCTGTACTCTCGGAGATATTTCATTAAAATATATAATATTCAATCCCAGGAAGTCTCCCAGCTCTTCTCACTGGACCCGATTTCTACCTCCCCGAAGGGTCCGCTTTCAATCCGTACTGGACCTGCAATGAAATAACTGTGATCCAGTTGATTTGTCAATCCCTCTACTTCATGAAGTTTAAATCAGAGCTATCCAGTACAAAGTGCTAGATTATTAAGAACTACATACTCCATGGTGACTACTACTACTGTAGATAACTACAGACTGCCTCTTGCAGGAGGCGGGCGGAGCCCCACGTCCCGCCGAAAGGGAATTTTCTTGGCTCCGACCTCGTCAGGGCCTCCAGGGTATACACACTCTTGGGTGATCCTTCATACTTTGTCCACTTTGTCCAATTGTTTCGCCCTTCGTAATTAAACTCATTGCAGATCGATTGAATTCGGCCGACGGTGATATTCAGTTTCAGCCCTGTTGAATCGCGACGCTCAAGCCCCTCCATCCCCGAGATATCTTTCATCTTTCGACAGTGAGGCAACCAAACAAGACAGGTAAAGAGGGAAAAAAAAAATCAGGAACTAAATAAAAAAGGCCCCGCTAAAGGACTTTGAGAAGCCATTCAAAATGCCCACTCTCAAAGCGATAGCCGCATCGACGCTATCTCTGCCCGCGGACAATTACATCTACTCCATCACTGCGTCGGCGCCAGGCTCCTTCGCTGCCATCTCATCCGATGATTCTTTACGCGTGTTTGATGCTGCCAATATCGACCACGTGTCAGTGGTCTCGCACAAGACCCACGATGGAGGTGTCACCTCGCTGCGGAGCTACCCTGCGGGGGATTCCCAGCTCCTAGCCACTGGAGGTCGGGAGGGCACAGTCAAACTATGGGATGTCCGAGCCGGGAATGCGGTATTGGAAATGGAGATGTGTAAGTTATTTTTTTTTCTCCCTCCTCTTTCCTCTGCTTCTGTCTTGTCCTCCTCGCAAGCCATGACGACTTGGAATACCTTGTACCTCAATGAGGGCTGCATCTCTGGGATCCGCTCAACGGGCGTCGGAGAATTTCTGCGCTATGATGCAAGGGTATCCTAGTCCGCACTTGCCATGTGAAACTGGCTTGTCTCTACCGTGTACAACTGGGCTAATACTAAAGTCTACTCTAGCGAGACACAGTGCTGTCCTCTCGCTTGCTTGCAGCCCGGAGACCAACACCATCGTAGCCGGTTCAGAACTGGTTTCATCGCAAGCAGTTGTTGCATTCTGGTATGTCTGCTCTTGAATTAATTAACCCCCGCCGTCAATTTATATGGCTGTACACCGATCCAGACCCTCGTGTGTGACCAAAGTAATCATCAATTTGCTAACCTTTGTCGCAGGGATATCAGATCGCCACAAGCACCTCGTCTCCAATACGTAGAAAGCCACAACGATGATATCACAGAGGTGAGCTCATTTCCTACCCAGATATCTAGCGGATCCGTTCGTCCCCGATGAAGAGGATAGCAAAGGCTAATCTGACACCGGCACCCTGCGTGGGACCGGTGGTACACAGCTCCAATATCACCCGAGCCGCAGCAATATCTTACTATCCGGCAGCACGGATGGGCTCGTAAACATCTACGATACAACGGTGACCGACGAGGATGAGGCCCTGGTGCAGGTCATCAACCACGGCTCCATACATCATGCCGGCTTCCTTTCCGATCGCACCATCTTCGCTCTCAGCCACGACGAAGACTTCGCTGTGCACCCGGCTACCGACCCAGACGAGCCTGGGGAAGGGCCCGAGCCCGTGCAGTTTGGCGATGTGCGCGAGCCTCTGGCTTGCGAGTACGTCGCTCAACTGTGCATCGGTAGCCAGGGCCCATATATGGCGGCCGGAAATAAGATGTATGTGTACCCCTGCAAATTGTTTCCCCGCCCCACACGTGTACCTCCATTCATTTTAAACGTTCTGGAGATGGCTGACCGTTTTTCCTTGTCTACAGTGATCAGCGCCTGGATCTGGTCCCATTGGTATCTAGTCCAGCGTGGCAGTTTGATAAGGATAACACCTGGCGTCTTCCTGGTGCGCATGGTGATGAAGTTGTGCGCGCCGTTTACCTCGATGAGCAGGTGAGTTTTCCCTCTTCGGTTGCACCATTGGTCATGCGGGTTATTGACTGTGAATGCAATACCAGAGCCAGTCCGTCTTTACTGGCGGAGAGGATGGATACGTACGGGCCTGGAAGCCCACCGAGGATGGAGATGCGCAGTCTCAGGCTGGGTCTGCGAAGACTTCGCGGAAGGATAAGAAACAAAAGGACCAAGGACGCTTTAAACCGTACTAGTGTGTTGCGGGTGGACGCATCTGAGTGCAGTCGTCTGCTGTTGTGTAGCATTGGGAGTTGGCGGTGGTTAAAAATAGATAACAATGTCTCTTCAGGATGGATATGCTGTTTTCATATATCTATTTTTTCATGGCGACAGCCCTAGGCTTGAAATACGGTATCCGCTACAGTATTTCTAGAAAATATGGTCCAAAATATGGTTGTACTACCGTATCCTATCAAGTCTAGTCTAGTATTTTAGTGGTAGTTCTATAGTGA